GTAGTAATATAGCATTGAATGCTTTTTCATTTTACAAGAGTTTTATTTTATAATTAAACCCACAGTGTTAGTAAGTGGGTTAAGGCACGCATCGGTATTACAGCAGCATCCACCAAGACCTGGCTCAACCGTAGAGCATTTGTTCGTCATATCTGTAAGTGTCCATGGCAGGAGATTGTCCCATTCAGCACCTCTTTTGACTCACTTAGAGATCTACAGATTGAGGTAGGATCACACATATATAGTGAGGCAGAATGTTGTTCGTTGTTGAATGTGGTGTTCAGGGTTACTGAGGCGCAGTCACCAAAGCAGGTTATGTATCTAAAATGGGTAAGTCAGATGTTTAATCCTCAGAGCTGAGTTTAGATTACTTACCCTGCGTTGCTGATGGCGGTACCGTCGACGTAGATACCACTCCAGCAGGAGATTGGGTATTCTGACACCGGCATTGGAGGTGGCTCAATGATCTGTAAAAATGATTTAGAATTGAGTGGTAACTTCTTGCTGTAATCAACTTACATCAGGTCGGCTAGCCAAGTTACAGTTTGGAGTATCGCAACAGCATCCGTTAACTCCACGATCTCCTGGCAGCGAATTGCAACCGTTGTAGGCGGAAAGTGTTCTAGAATTTACTCACGATTCAAACCTACAGTATCCCCGAGGTAAATATGTTACCCACTTGCACACGCTGGTTGGCACACATTGGAAGGTGGTAACATTGTCACCATTGACGATACCGTTGAGAGTAGAGCACATTCCCACGCAAGGCACCTGAAAGAGACGTTTTGCGAAAGAATCAAATATTCAACCCTGGTAGTTGCACTTACCTGAGCTCCAACATTGACACCAGCCTTTGGAGCGTTCACTCCAACATAGCACATAAGAGGATTGTTGGATGGTGACTGAAAAGGAATTTTACTTTTAGTTTGCGAATAACATGAAAATTAGAAGTATCTGCTTAGATATCATTGAAAAGAGGTTGATGCACAAGTTTTGCACCAAAAAATATGAAAGTCACTCTAAAAATACTTGAGCGAATTTTCTAAACTTTATAAAAAATACAACATAAGCGAAATGTTTTACTTCACTGTGCATATCAG